CTCTCTCTCTCTCTCTCTCTCTCTCTCTCTCTCTCTCTCTCTCTCTCTCTCTCTCTCTCTCTCTCTCTCTCTCTCGTTCTCTCTCTCTCGCTCTCGCTCTCTTTCTCTCTCCGTTCTCTCTCCTGTTTTTCCTATTTATTTCCTGTTGAGCAGAATGATCCCTATCTTGGACCTTTGCGATCACCCCTGATGATGACTGGAATATTCGGCGCCAGTCGAAACATGTCGGGCTTCTACCGAGACCGCTGCTCCTTGTCAGGACTCACCTGATTGGAGTGGCTATTTGTGTTTCACGGACATTTCTCTCTATATCGCTTGGGCTTTCAAGAAGATCTCTCTCTCTCTCTCTCTCTCTCTCTCTCTCTCTCTCTCTCTCTCTCTCTCTCTCTCTCTCTCTCTCTCTCTCTCTCTTCCTCCCTCTGTGCTCACAACGGAATGGCTTCAAATGTTGTTATGGAGCTTTGATTGTATGATATTCTGGTTGCGTGTTCTTCGCATATTTGTTGAGATCTCGTATGGCACACATAGATACGCTATAGCTAAGTGCAAACGTGACGATGCCAACAGACGTGGAAGACATAATCGCCGTGAATTTCCTTTTTAAGTATGACTCATGATTCTTTTGTTCCATGAGTTTGTGTTCTCTTGTATCTATTTCCTTCTTTTCTCACTACTCGATGCCTGATTTTTTCGTCCATTTCTGCTAAGCTCGCGACTTCGGTTGCTATGCTCTAAGCTCATAACTTCGGCTCTAGCAATAACCGTGGTAGAAATTATACTACTATAGAGTGGTTGCTGGGCTACTTGCCCGAATTGTCCAACTTTTTCCCCCACTATTTCCCCATATTTGCATTTGCTCAGTACCCATTCTCCCACATATTCTCCGATCTATTCTCCGATCGATTTCACTACTTCTCTTTCGGCCCTGGCCCTATGCTTGACAAACTCTTGCTCGTTTGCCCTCTATCATTTCTGTTTCATCGAATCCACTTGCGTACGCTGTCAGGTATGACCCTTGTTTCCTCCTCCCGTTCCACTTATTGATGCCGCCGTTTACCCCTGCCTGTATTCATCTTTCGTTCACCACTTCTACACCTTCTGTTATTCATCCTCTTTCATCTCGGTTTTGCTTTATGAAGTTCTACTAACTGTCGTCTGATTCTTACCGGGTTACCTACCCGAGTGCTTGTTTTTCTGCTCTTAAGTTACTACCGCCTCTACTTCGGTTCGAGTAAGATCCTCGCTTGCTTCGCTCGTGTTTGATTCAACCCACACCCTTCTTTTGAGCTGACATCTACCCCATTTCTTTCCATTTTGTTCGTTCTTTGTCGTCTCGAGTGTGTCGCCTGTTTTCGAGATGGTGACATGTGGGAGCTGTTACAACTGTGGTATGCCGGGGCATTTCGCAAGGGATTGCCCGTATCGCCAGTCTTCCTCCTCGCAATAGGTCATGCCGCGTTCATTTGTTTTCCCCCCTCTACCGCCGCCCTCCAACAATGCTCCGGCGCACCAATCTCAAGTTCCACTGCTAGCTCTTCCACCGCCACCTCGGACGAATCCATCAGGCAGTACCAGTCCGGGGCAGGCGATTGTCCTGCGTCAGTCATGGTGGAAATTGAACCAGGAGAAGCTGGATCGAGTCTACGATTTTATGGCGTTTGAACTAGAAGCACGCCAGGAGACAATCCGCGAGAAGGAGAGATTGCTCAAGGAAATAGAAGAGAAACAGAAAGTTAAAGAAGCTGAGGAGAAGGCGCTTAGCAAGATGAAGGAAAGACAGGAGTTCGAGGAACGGATAGGCACGATTGTGGGATCCAAGATCAACGATGCTTCCGAACTTTTCCTTGGCCGAGCCGATCAGGCTAAGGCAACTACTGCGAGCGGCGAAGTCGGTCGACGCATAGGACCAGAAAAAACGGCCATTAAACATCTAGATGCTGAGAAGGAGCTGATGGAGAAACAGATTGGGCTCCTTAGACAAGAGCATGAGTTCATCAAGAAGAGGATGGAGGAACTCGCCAGAACCATGAAGCAAACTAGTACAGGAACCAAGCGGCCAGCTACTGGGGTGTGCATCACGAGCCCTCCTGAAGCTCCCGCTCGAGGGAAATCTAAAGTAATGGGAGTCGGCACGCCTACTTCGCAGGACTTTGAGAAGCTTCTTAAGGCCTACAACACAGTCAAGGAGGGGAAGAGAATTGCCGACATGGAGGTTCACACACTCAGAGAACGATTTGAGAAGGCGGTCAGTAAACTAGTAAGACAAGGACGCACACCAAGAGCCAATCTCACCAGGCGAATGTATGAGGCTACTGATGATGACGAGCAGGAGATTCCAGCTGGACGTGAAGAAGGTTTGGATGACTTGACACTCCGGCCATCTCCTCCGAAGAGAACCTCTGGACGACTCGCCATGAAAGCAGCAGTTGCAGAGAAGGCCGAGTTCGTGAAGGAAACGAAGAAGTACCTGAAGCGACTGAAGAAGCATGGACTCCAAATGCTATGTGCCAAGGAAGGAGTCACTTTCATCACGTGTCGAACAAGCAATTACTGACATTGCGGAGTTACGGGCCGCCGCGGCATTCGATCTACATCAGCACGTCGTAAGGCTGAACAATCAGCACCTGACTCCGAAGTTGATGACGGGAAGGAAGACGAGCGCGACGACATCGATGGACATAGCACACAGCCGGTACAAGTGGAAGATGACGAGCAGATCGCTGATGAATAGGGACATTGCCCAAGCGTACAGGCGATTTGGGAATTAGTGAACTGTTGCCTCTCCTTACGGAAGTCTAGAACTGGTCTTCTACATGCCCATCTTAACTATCTACTGCGTATCCTCGTCATCTCGCTTATCCTCTTACAGCAACTGCCTTGGTGCTTAAAGTTTTCTGACTGTCTTTCTCACCTTCTTAGTGGTGATTTTGACCTGCGACGAGCTAAAGGCCCTGTGGTTTATTGTTTAGTTTCCCCGCTAGTCAAACACTATTATATAGGCTGCACTACTAGAGATTTGGATCTACGATGGGCAGAACATGTAAACAGGGCTTTGAATACTACCACTACACCACGAAATCACAAGCTCTACACATGGTTAAGAAGAACAGTGGTTTACCATTATGTAGCTATTCCCTTAGCTGTCGTAAATTCCGAAGATATCCTGCTGACTGAAAAAAGGATGCTAAACTGGACATCTCCGTATTTGAATGCAAGGCTAGTCAATAATAAAAAATAAAAAAAAAGGAAATGCAGACCAGGTAAGCGAGAAAGAAGGAGTAGAGTTAGAAGGGCTCTTGGTAACAGTACGATTTTAGAGAAATCTGCAGGAGAAAAAAGAGTTGCATTTTTTCTTTCCTCGATCGGACACTCGTCTGTCTCCCTCCTTCACATTCTTAATGATTGCTCTCGTATGAATATTTCAACATTCTCTCTTGTAGGACAGGGAGGCAAATTGCTCACCGATTCCTGGAAAGTCATAAAGCATGTGTACGGGGGCTCGATAGTATCGTCTTCTTTTGGGAGAGATCAACTGAAGTCGTGCAAGGGATGGCTAGAGCATGGGGGACTAATTAATGTAGTATTCTTGGCTAAGTTCTGCTCCAGATCCGAGGGTCTAAAAAACCCTTTAGCTCATCTGCTCAGCCATCCACAGGAAAGGAAAAATTTATATTCTTGGTCGTTGAAAAATCTTCTGTATGCCTACAATGTCGTCAGATGTTTTTCAAGGAAATCGTCCCGACAAACTCTTCGACTGATACTTTCAGGAACGATTCGACGGAAATTTGGTTTCTGTCCCAGAAAGCGATTGATTTTCAGACTAAGATATTCAGACCTTATTTCCAAAAAGGTTGTACGAATCTTGTGTGCCAGACTCATTAGACAAGCTAACCTCCCTTCCTCCTTATCTGGTATGCTAGCCAGGAGATTCAGAGTAGTCTGGTTAAAAAATAGGAGCCTCGCCCAGAGCTTGCACAATTTCAGGAAATACTCGCGTCCCCCCACCCTTGAATGCACTTGTGCCAAATTTTCTGAAAAAATCAGGATACTATCTGATCCGAAACTTCCCCCTATTCCTTCTCTCCCCTCTCCCTCTCCCTTCGATTCCCCCTCCCCCTTATCCTCCCTTGGTCTCACACAGTTACCCCTGATCTCTGAACTCCACCCCATGGATTCTACCCCCACCAATGCGTATTCCCAGCCCACGATAATGCCCACAGATCTATCCCTAATGGTTGGCGGTCATATCTCTTTTCGTGCGAAAGATTTCCCGTTCGTACCTACCTGGCTTCTTAACTCCAGAAACATCCCTCCTCCTACCCGATCCTACACTTTTTCATACCTTCGGTCTCGGTTACAAGAAACTTTGGATCAGATCCCTTCTCTCTCCCCTACTACTCACTCATTCAGCATGCCCCCTTCTGTATAGTCCTCATGGTACAAACTCTCTCGTGCATCCTCCATTGCCAGCTCTCACTCAAACTCCAGCACCCGCCCACTGTCCTCATTGTCTGATCTTCGTTCCCTCGAATTTTCCTCGGAAAACGTTGCTATATGGAAACAACTAGTGGACGGTCTCGTCCTCTCTCCTGTGGACCACAATCCAGGAGAGACATATTTTTGCTGCCCTACCATCTATAAACAAGGCATGATGTCACTTTTTCGGGATAACCCTGGATTTAAGAGGGTCCATAAGAAGGAATCAGATATTCTAAAAGACTGTCGATAGAAGTATGTGGAAGGGAAGTTCGATTTGATTAGTGCCTGGAATACGAAAGGAAGTTTTGGTAAAGGATATGTTATCCCTAAACATAAGAACGTGCAAAAATGGCGACCTATCTGTCCTACTGCGTCTGAACCCTCCCTTACAGCCTGCAAACGCATCACCTCCTGTCTTAACGTTCTTATCAAATTGCTCCCTCCCCAACTTCACTTTAATCTCTTTAGCGCCTAGGATCTGACCACAACACTTCAGGGCATCAATCGTTCCGTCTCCTCGAATGAAGGCCTCGTTGCGGCAAGTTTTGATGTAAAAGAGATGTTCACAAGACTTCCTCACTCTTCAATCCGGGATGTTGTCAAATGGTTTACATACTACTTTCAGCTGCAAGGCTACGAGGGGGTCTGGGTAAAAACTAGACGGAGAAGGGCAAAGTTGTCATCAAGTAAATCGAATCGCGGTTGGAAATTTGTCCGGTTTAGCACCATTGATGCTTTCGTTGCTTTTGATCTGGATAATCCATACATTAAGGCCATGAGTTTTCTGCTACACAGGAAGTAGGTGCTCCGATGGGAAAGTCGTCTAGCCCTGCTTTGGAATGTATGTTATGTATGTACAATGAGTTCAATTTCCTGTCCTCACTAGGGAAGCAACGAGCATTGGTTTCTGGTGTCCGTTTAGTCGATGATGTGACAATCTTTGTAAGAGTCACACTGAGCAATCCATCTTCAAAGAAGACGGCTGAAGAGATTATTTCTTTGTTCAGACAAAGTTACGACAGCAACCTAACTCTTGAAAACACAAGTAATGCTGCTTCCTGGGATTTCCTAGGATGTCAGCTCTTAGATTTTCCTGCGCCTATAGGAGTTAGATGCTCCCCCACTCACCGCAATCAAGCACGACTGATCTCTTATGGAAATATTACCTTTCAGGCAGTTCAGGACTTCGTATCATATTCCAGCAAGCAACAGAAACTTGCAGTAATCAGTTCCTTTCTTCATCGTGCGAGGCATTTTGCTACTCTACCGGCAACAAAAATCATTTTTTTTGTCACCTTCAAAATTGAGCTTCGACTACGGGGGTATCCGGATTACTACTTCGAGAATGCATTGACAACGTTCTCACACAAGTTCGCAGGATGTTGGGACCATTGGGTCACTTGTCTGACAAAATGGCATGAGCTGGGATTATAGCTAGGAGAGGATCTCTCATTAGGGGAACGGACACGGGAAACTGTGAACTAGCGGAGGATCTCTCATCATGGGAACGAACACGGGAAACTGTGAACATTGTTTTTAAGCCTCTTGGTGTGGATACCTAGGTAGTACACATAAAAAAGGGGGGTAGATTACGGCGTGCCCCGAATTGGGTCTCCACGGCAATTATTCGTCAGTTGGACTGATCGTTTCGTATACCAGCATAGACCCTGTTCAAAATCCCGGTACTACCGACGAACCCAGCTTTGGGTTTCCCGCCTGATCAACTTCCTCCTATGCATGACAGTCCCCTGCACTTCTCGCCTACCGCTACCTATAAGTACATACTTTCTATAATTCTAAATCCTCTCTCCTTCAGAGGTGGTGGTAAGCGCATATCCCACCAGCTCTGGGACAACGTCTTGTTTCTACTTTGCCGACACCTATAGTATACCAAGTATCACTGTCCTGCGCCTTCCCCTGCGCCGCCGCTCATAACCCTCTTCATCTGCC